TGTAATTAATCATAGGGATCTAAAAACAGAAAATATGTTATGTTAAAGCTATGTTACAATTTAAGTGAAAGTATGAAGAATTAGAAGAAAGGAAGATGTGTTAGTAGTTGTTTTTGTAATTGTTTTTGTTGAAGTATGTATGTATGTATGAATGTATTTTTGTGTATGTTTTGTGTAACAAATAAATTTATTAAAAAAAATAAAAACAGAAAATAGATAATTGACAAAGTCAGCAATGAGAATGGAATAATTTTGAATGTAGTGAATGTGTTTGAAATGATATGTGCTTTTAAAATTTTAACAACAACATTTATTTTAAAAAAAAAGACAAGACAAGAATGCTTGGTGAAGTTGAAGGCAGTAGGAAAAGACAGAGACTGCATTACAGGTGGATAGATGCAACCAGGGAAGCCATGGCCCTGAGTCTGCAAGACCTGAGCAAGGCTATTGCTAACCAAGTAGACTTGGATGTCTACTTTTTTATAGGGTCACCATAAGTCAAGTCAAGGCAACTAGAGTAAAGCCACATAACCAGTTGTTCAATGCTGAGTCAAAATGCCTAGATTAAACCCATTGTTTCAATGGATCTACTGGAGGAGAAGCATTACAATACAATTCAGATCACTGTGTGTCCATCCTTGGCAGCTGTTGACTATTTTTGCTAGCTTTTTAAAAATAAAATAAAATAAAATAAAAAACACCTTCACCTATTAAACTATACATTTCAACCCTTATCCCTGAATCGCTAATAAAGAAAAGTGATAAAATTTTCATTCAACACAGTTCTCCTAAAATCTGGCAAGCTGGGTGAGTCAGAGGGAAATATCTTTTCCCATCAACATGGGATACGGGAAAGAAATTACAGGAACGAAAGATGTCTAGAGCCAACCCCAAGCAATAATGTTTTGCACTGATAAATGCAGTCAGAGATCAGCCGAAGCGATCAGTAAATTAATGGTTTTGTGAGTAATCTTGTAGTTCAGACTGAAGCACCACCTTATTTTCGAAGGCCCCTAATCAAATTCACCCCAGATTCCTTTAAAACCCCACAGATAATCCGCTGTGTCTGATTAGCGCTGAATTAAACTCCTGCTGAAATAAAAGTAGGGAAGCTTAGGAAGATAACCTTTTTGATGGGAGAATGCTCCTAAACAGCGGGTTGTTGTTGATGCCTTTAGAGTTTTATGAATGGACTGAGGGAGACAATTTCTATTCTCTGGCTTTGTTTTCTTTCAGATCTTCTTTCAGTATTTTCTCTCACAGTCTCTGTCTTTGCAAACACAGACTGGGCACATCAAGCTTCTGCCTATCCTACTCTTGACTCTGGCCATGCAACGTTTCATTGGAAAAAAACTACTTTCTTTCCTGCAAGACTCAATGACCTGAATCCTATTGTTAGTATTGATTACAGTATGCATGTATGTTATGTGCCTTCAAGGTGTGCCCAACTTATGGAGACCCTAAGGTGAGCCTATCATAGGGTTTTCTTGGCAATATTTGTTCAAGAGGAGGTTTGCCATTACCTTCCTCTGAGGCTGGGAGAGTGTGACTTTCTGAAGGTCACCTAGTGGGTTTTATGAACAAGATAGGAATTAAACCCTAGTCTCCAGAGTCATAGTCCAATACTCAAACCACTACAGTCCAGCCATGCAAAATCTCATTGAAAAAAATTACTTTCTTTGATGCAAGAGTCAATGACCCACATCCTATTGTTAGTCTTGACAAGAGTAGACATATTAAATCCATGGGATTTAACTATGTGCTGATCCCAGTCAACAGTTGATGGACCTACTTTAGTGTGCTGTTGTTGTTCACCTTCAAATCATTTCTGACTAATGGCGACCCTAAGGCAACCCTATTACAGGGTTTTCTTGGCAAGATTTGTTCAGAGGGGTTTGCCTTTGCCTTCTTCTGTGGCTGAAAGAGTGTAACTTGCCCAAGGTCAGCCAATGGGTTTCCATGGCCAAGCAGGGAATCATAACCTGGTCTCTAGAGTTATAGTCTAACACTCAAACCACTAAACCACACTTTCCCTGCTTTAGTTAGCACTAACTACCATAATAGTCCTTCTGGTTGTTTTGGAGGTTGCTGAGTCCTGCATTTCCTTTTTCTGGCCAAAAGAAAGATGAATTGACTTTCATAGAAAGCTCCAAGCAAGGGAATTCCCCTTTGAAATAAGTAGCAGAGTCTCTTTCTTAATATTAAAGAACACCCTGTTTTTCAAAACCAGAAATGGGCTTTTTGACCTTCTAGTTTTGTTCTTTTCAAAACAGAGGGTCATTAAAAGCAAACATTGCAGCCCTTAGAAGATCCTGGGGTAGAAAACTGTTTGCTTTAGAGCCCATACATTCATATGTTTTTATTGTTAACAGTTAACAGAAAAACAGGTGAGAAATTTTATACATTAATAAAATTGAGTTTTTATTTTTATTTTTATATCTTAGCCAGCTGCAACTGAAGGCAATGCAAGGAAGGTACAAAACATACCTGAGATAATAGTTATTCCCTTTAAAATGACACCAGCTATAAAAGACTCATAATAAACAAATGCAGAGGTACACTTTTGGTTCCTCTACTGTTACTTCTCTTTAATGACCTTTATGACATTAAACAGCCTCTTACAGTTAAATCCTTCACAGGCCAAAAATATGAGTCAAGTGTTGCTTTCCTGATGGATTGTTTTCCATTTCTGAATGTCAGCCTGTGCAGCTTTGATGTGTTCATAAATATATACCAGGCTACTAACATTGGCCTGGCAAGCTGAAAAAGACAGATAAGAAGATCCATGCCCAGTTCAACTGCTGGCTTGCTCCCTCTCTTTCTCTTTTTGCATGTTCCGTGACAGACATTTCGTCAGGCTATCAGGAACTGCATCCTATTTACAAAATGGTTGTGCGATCTATGAAGTCACTCAGAGAAATCGTAAAGTTTCTTTCTGTTTAAGGATTTTAAAGAGAAAGAGGAGAACAAGCAAGAACTCTACTCT